AATATTTTTCATATTGCTATCCGTGGCTTGAAATAAACCTCACGCAATCGCTGACAATCGTTTAACTATTTTTAGTTCAGGATAATTGAATGGTCTTGGAACTTTGGCATCAGCTTCGTTATGTCGTGACGTGTTTTCGTCTATCATAACCCGCAAACCCATCCCCGTAAGCAAACCCTATTGCAGATAAATTCCAATGCAACGAATATCTCCCCCACCCAATTTCAATATCAAACACAGCCAGCAACGCCCCCAATCCTACCAAAAGGCGCCACACAGAAAAAAAAATGATATCTAACATTAAGCCACACCGATGACGGCTTATACACCAATGTAGTGAGATCCGTACAAATATCGGCATAAATACGGAGATCTGTGAAACAGTGAAGTCTCACTAAACCAACGGCTGTTCCGCAGAGACCTGCATTGGTAAGCCTGTCCGATTACAACGGGGAGGTGGAGCCCATGCGCCTTTGCATTTGACAGCTGTTGCTCCACCAATGATGCAGTGCATCACATGCACCCTATGTTTGGCTATTTGTATGGGAGAGTATATTCTTTCGGTCCGTAAAGGGTTTTTCGACCACCGCCGCGCGTCATAAAACAAGGGCATAGCAACGCAATCGGGCTTCATTTCCGCACCGACCGCAGTTGTAATGCCCTGCGTGCCACGCCCGAATGCGGGGAGAAGTACTGAGCAAGCGTCTTGGGAAAATACAGAAAATTTATGAAAGCATTTCGTGAAATTGTGACCTGAACCTTCCATGATCAAAAATGCCAGCGCAAAATTACCGCAGTAGTCGACGCGCCGTTAAGACCAAAAATCAATCGAACAAATCATGTCGGTAAGTGGCCCCTTGATGATGAAATGTGAGAACACTTGCGCCACACGGGCTGACTACATTGTCACTGTATGTTTTTTGCTGCCCTTGTTGGATCCATATTTCAGAGGCATCGTCCTTGCATTGTCATATGTTGCCATTCTATTATCATTGAATGTTCTGTTTCTTGTCATGAAATGTTTTCGCATCCATCGGACAAACGTTAGATGTACAAATCTGCCGAAATATTTCGACTAGATTAAACATTTGCATTACGTGTTTTGCGTGTCCTTATAGATCAGGTGAAAAGGTGCCTCACTTCCGAGTCATCCGCCAGAAGCAGGGTGGATTTGAATTGCTTTAGGTACTCGCTATTTGCCCTTGACATATGTAGCCGACAGCCGGTCGGAGCGGCCGCGTTAAACGTCAGGTGAGGTCAGAGAATAGGACGAACAGTGCCGAACACTGCGACACGTTAAGCTTTCGTTATAAAATTCTACCGTTGACCTGGCATTGCACGATCGGATGGCAGGGGTCAGTGCCCATGCCACAAGTATTGTTTGGCGTAAGCTGTGATCCCAGAAAGTCATTCATTTGCTTGCCTTGAATCATATTTAATGTTTCACCATAGAATATGATTTTTTCCATTCAAACTTGACGTGTATGCGCAAAATAGCTACTTTGTGACACTTTGTATTCAATGCAATTCAAGCCCAATGTCAAGGGTGTGCATTACAGCAAGACAGCATGATCAGCGTTAACCCGTCCCATCTGGACACGGCCCTGCCAGTGTCAAATAGTCTCGATATACACCAGACCAGAGTGTCGTGAGAGGACATTACTCCCAAA